CCCCCCCCCCCCCGTCACAGCTGGCGGGAATGCAGGATCACAGATGCAGCCGCTTTGGGAGATGGTTTGTCAGTTTCTTACAAAACTAAACATACTCTTACTGTCTGATTCAGAAATCACACTCCTTGGTATATGCTCAACGGTGTTGAAAACTTCCGTCCACACGAAAACTTGCATGTGGATGTGTAGAGCAGATTTATTCCTAATTCCCCAAACTTGGAAGCAACCAAGATGTCCTTAGCAGGTGATGGACAAATAAACTCTGGTGCATCCGGACCGTGGAATATTATTCAGCAGTAAAAAGACACGAGCCCTCCAGCGTAGACCTGGAGAAACCTTAAATGTGTATTACTAAGTGAAAGAAGCCAGTCTGCAAAGACTAGACACTGCACAACTCCAAGTCTATGACTTTCTGGAAAAGGCAAAACGACAGAGTGAGTAGAGATGGGTGGTTGCCAGGCTTGGAAGGAGGGTAGGAGGGCTGGATATGTGATACACAGGGGACGTTCAGGTTGTGAAACTACTTGGTGTGATACAGTAAGGGTGGACATATGTCATCACACCTTTGTCAAGACCCACACAATGTGCAACCCAGAGAACGAGCCTTAAAGTAAACCATGGATTTTTGTTAATGATAATGTACTGATATTAGTTCAATTTTAACAGTGTATCAGACAGTAATGTAAAATGCAAATAATAGGGGAAATTAGATTTCTAAATACCAGCAACAAGCAAATAGAAGTTTTAAAAACAATACCATTAAAGAACATCAAATAGCAAAAATGTGTACGACCCTTACGGTGAAAACCACAACGTGATACTGAAAAAGGATACCCCGATACATACAACTAGACCCCACCGGAATGTACGGAAGTTACACTAAGAATGTCCGGAACTTCTACCTCCAATTCTACCTCCAACCAACAAGGGGTAACTGATGCAACACTTGCTCTTCAATCAGAAATAATTAAAAAATGGCCCCAATACACTGTTCGGCATTGGGTCTACGGTAGCCAGGGATGGTGCTTCCCGACAGGAGAGAAACAAGACAGCTGGGTCCTGCCGTCCTCCCGGACCAGGAGCCGCTTCCGGATCCCAGCATTGCAAGAAGGAGCCTACACAGAACAGGTGGTGTTGCTAAGTTAAGAAGACAGAGATTAGAACTGAGGGAAGACAGGTCGGCTCAAATTTGTGGGGGAAAGTCCTGGAGAGGAGGGAGCGATGCACAGAAAGAACTACAAACGTCTCCGTGGAGTTTCACTGAGTCCACTTAAAAGTAATACAAACAGGGGCACCTGGGTGGCTCAGTCGGTTAAGCGTCCGACTTCAGCTCAGGTCACGATCTCGAGGTCCGTGAGTTCGAGCCCCGCGTCGGGCTCTGGGCTGATGGCTCAGAGCCTGGAGCCTGCTTCCGATTCTGTGTCTCCCTCTCTCTCTGTCCCTCCCCCGTTCATGCTCTGTCTCTCTCTGTCCCAAAAATAAATAAACGTTAAAAAAAAAAAAAAAAGGAATACAAACAAATGACTTCTGAATAACGAATGTACTCACATGGTGCTACAACGAACAGAATCACAAAATAATGTGGAGAGAAACTAAACGAGCCCCAAATACACGGGATTATATACTATTTTCTTAAACGGAATGATTTAATATTGTTAAGATGTCAGTTCTCCACAAAGTTTCTATAGATCCAACACCGTTCCAATAAGAATCCCAGCATGTTGTGGGTTCTTTTGCAGAAACTGAATTACATACTGAAAAATATAAAAGGGCATTGGTGTCGGTGGAAACCCTGCTCCCCCTAGGCTATCTGCACTCTTAACAGTTTATGACTCTTCTTTTGTGTTTCTTCAGGTCTGTACGTATAAAGCAAATACAAATACACATTACTTCCCCTCTCGTTTTACACAAAAGGCAGCACACTCTATGCCGTTCTTGACCTCACTTCTTTCCAGGGAATGCTGTATCTTGGAGATCACTTCCCGTTTCCACACAGAGTACATCCTCTGTTTTCAAAGCCACTTTCACACCCCGCTGGTCAGCAGCACAGCACAGTGAACCGCGGGTTAAGGGCCAGAAGGCATTTCCCAGTGCAGCCATCACCCCGAGAACTGAGGAGGGGCACCTGCTGATGACAATGAGCCGGTCCAGAGGGCCATTCCCCACCTGTGCTCACAGGGTCCCCAACCAGCCACCTGCGCTCCTGCTCTGTGAAAGAAGCCTAAGGCAAGGGCAGCGGGCCAGTATTTACGAGGGCAAAGATATACCCCTCCAAGGGAAAAAGCAAGATATGGGCAGAGGAAAATGTTCTTACTTTTGAATTTATTTTAATATGCTTCTAGAACTCAATTATTAACGGAAAATTATGACCATCTCTGCTTCTTGCCTAAATACGGGGGAACGACAATGTTATTATCTCTGTTAGATTTTGAAAAGAACATGTACCAGTGAGTTTCTCTTTCTGGTGTTGTTTCTGTTCTGCGATAAGGGGCTAAGCGCACATTAACTCTCTGTAGCCAGGTCCCTCCTAACAAAGCCTTATGCGTTAGACGTGAAAAGCTCACTCACTTACCAATGTCATCGAGGAGGATATTCTCAGGCTTTAAGTCTCTACAAAGGAAGGGACAACAACAAAAAGCTCAGTTATTCACAAGGCGACACTGTGACTCCTCAGCACCCAGCAGAAATGACCACAGATGTCTCTACTCTGAGCAGCAGCAAAGACCACCCTCTGGGGTCAGCTCATGAGCCCTTCACGCTGTCGCCGGGAAGGACGAGGACCCCACAGAGGCTTCATCTTGGCCAACACCATGCATGTGCCAGCGGTGTGCGAACCGCTCTGCCCAGGCCCGCGGATCTAATGGAAGGTCAGCAAGGAATTAGTCCATAATAAACTTGGCTGTTTCTCTTATCATTAACGTACTTTTTAAAACGTCAACATGGGGCGCCTGGGTGGCGCAGTCGGTTAAGCGTCCGACTTCAGCCAGGTCACGATCTCGCGGTCCGTGAGTTCGAGACCCGCGTCAGGCTCTGGGCTGATGGCTCAGAGCCTGGAGCCTGTTTCCGATTCCGTGTCTCCCTCTCTCTCTCTCTTCCCCTCCCCCATTCATGCTCTACCTCTCTCTGTCCCCAAAAAAATAAATAAACGTTGAAAAAAAAAATTAAAAAAAAAAAACGTCAACAAGTGAAAATCCCCCGTACCGGAAGAACTCAGCTCTGGGGGTCAGACAGGCACGGTCTGCCACTTCTCCGCTGCCTGGCCTTAACCGCCCTAGGCCTCGGTGTCCTCCCCTCACAGCGCCATCCACACCCACCCGCTTCCCGGCAAGGCAGGGTTGGGGAGCTCAGGCCTTGCAGCGGGAAGCAGGTAACCAACAGCAGTGACTGTTATTGGTAGTTCGTTGTGAAGGGGAGGTGGGGAATACCACAAACTTTGAATAAATATAGATCACGAAAGACTAAGATATCTTAAAAGTAATATTTCAAGCTGCTGCTTGTTTGTTTCTTCCCTTAGAGAGAAAAAAATTTTTTTTCTTTTTTTTTTTAATTTTTAAATTTTTTTTTAAATTTATGTTTGACAGAGAGAGAAGGAGCAACAGAGCATGAATAAGCCAGGGGCAGAGAGAGGGAGACACAGAATCGGAAGCAGGCTCCA